AGATTCAATCATTCCGTCTCGCAGGCGAATAATCCGCTCGGCATGCTGGGCAATATCTTCTTCGTGGGTAACCAAAATAATGGTGTTCCCATTTTTGTGAATCTCCTCAAACAACTTCATAATCTCCACCGAAGTCTTAGAGTCTAAGTTTCCCGTGGGCTCATCGGCCAGAATTATGGAGGGGCTATTTACCAGGGCTCTTGCCACGGCCACTCTTTGCCGCTGCCCGCCCGAGAGCTGATTGGGCCGGTGATCCATGCGATCATCCAGGCCTACCTGATTCAGCACCTCACTGGCGCGGACTTTTCTATCGTCTGCCCCCAGGCCGGCATACACCAGCGGTAGGCTTACGTTCTCCAATGCGGTAGAGCGCGGCAACAAGTTAAAGGTTTGAAAAACAAAACCGATTTCGCGGTTGCGTATTTCCGCCAGCTCATTGTCGCTTAAGATGCTTACGTCTTTATTGTTTAACCAATAGCTTCCAGAAGTAGGCGTGTCAAGGCAACCCAATAAGTTCATAAGGGTAGATTTACCCGAACCCGAAGGACCCATCAAGGCCACGTACTCGTTTTTATTTACACTGAGGTCAATTCCTTTAAGCACTTTAACCACCTGGTTACCAAGCTGAAAATTGCGCTTTATTTGCTCGAGCTTAATTATTTCCTGCATAGGGATATTTGATTGCGCCAAGATACAATAATGGCTAAAAGCACTGCTAATTCTGGCATTAGAATTGAAGCCACTTCGCGCGTAAACGTGAATTTGAGCTGTGGTATAATTAGTACCTTTGCAGCCCTTAAAAAAGAATGTTATGAACATGGCAAGCATATTTCTTGGGTTCATGGGGCCCTGGCAAATTGTGTTAATAGTGGTGGTTGTGCTGCTGCTCTTTGGCGGAAGAAAAATTCCGGAATTAATGCGCGGCCTCGGTGGCGGTATTAAGGAGTTTAAAAGCGCGGTAAAAGAAGACGAGAACGCTGACGAAAAAACATCAGACAACAAAAAAAGCTAAAAGCCCAGGCCCACCCAATGATCAATTTTGACACGCTCACCGAAGTACAAGAAAATCTAAACTCAGGTAAATTTAGCTGCGCAGAAATGATAGAAGCATTTTTGCAACGCATAGATGAGCATAAAGACCTCAACGCTTTTGTAGAAGTTTTTGCACACGATGCGCGCAGCCGCGCCACGGTGATAGATGCCAAAATAAAGCACGGAACGGCCGGCAAACTGGCGGGCCTGGTGGTGGGTGTAAAAGACAATATGGCCCTTAAAGGCCACGGGCTTTCGGCCGCCTCAAAAATTTTAGAAAATTTTGAATCGCTCTACACCGCCACTGCCGTAGAACGACTGCTGGCAGAAGACGCCATTGTTATTGGCCGGCTTAATTGCGATGAGTTTGCCATGGGTTCTGCCAATCGCTTTAGCGCCTACGGCCCGGTAAAAAACCCTGTGAATAAGAAAAAGGTAGCGGGCGGCTCTTCGGGCGGAAGTGCAGCCGCGGTGGCCGCAAACCTCTGTCATGCCGCTTTGGGCAGCGACACCGGTGGGAGCATCCGCCAGCCGGCTAGCTTCACCGGCACCATCGGCTTTAAGCCTACGTACGGCCGTGTTTCGCGCCACGGTTTAATTTCCTTTGCTTCCTCTTTTGATCAAATTGGCCCCTTTGCGCGCAGCATGGAAAATATTGCGGCCATCTATGAAACAATTGCCGGTAAAGACCAATGGGACAACACCGTGAGCCACCGCGAGGTTGAACCTGTGCCCCAAAATGGTGATACTCAACCCAAGCGAATTGCCTATTTCAAAGATGTGCTACAAAGCGAGCATATTGACGAAGAGGTGAAAGAGCAAAGCCTCAACTTTATTAATACCTTAAAAGAACAAGGGCATACCGTTGAGGGAATTGATTTCCCAATGTTGGATTACCTGGTGCCCGTGTATTACATTTTATCTACCGCTGAGGCCAGCAGCAACCTGGCCCGGTATGACGGAATTCACGCGGGCTACCGCAGCGAGAACGCCCATGACCTCGAAAGCACCTACAAATTATCGCGCACCGAAGGTTTTGGCCCGGAAGTAAAGCGCAGAATTTTGTTGGGAACCTTTGTTTTAAGCAGCGGATATTACGATGCGTACTACGGGAAAGCCCAGAAGGCACGCAGGTTGGTGAGCGATAAAACCAAGGATATTTTTAAGGAGTACGACTTTATTCTTTCGCCAACAACGCCCCACCCGGCCTTTGATATAAAGGAGGAAGTGAGCGACCCCACCAAAATGTATCTGGAAGATATTTTTACCGTACACGCCAACATAACCGGTATTCCCAGCATTTCATTGCCCCTGTTCAAAAACAGTAAAAAACTACCTTTTGGCATGCAGTTTTCTGCTGCTTCTTTTGAAGATGCCAAACTGCTTGATTTTGCCCAAAGCTTCATCAACAATTAGTAGTTAGTATTTTACGTTAAACCATATGCCTCGCTGCGTTTGGTTCATTACCTTGTATTGATGCATTTGAACAAACTACCATGAAAGCTGGAAAAAAACTCTCAATTCTACTTTGCTCATTAATGCCCCTGGCATTGTGCGCGCATTTTCACCAAGGAGAAACCGATACGGTTACCAAACCCAAAAAGGTAGACCTTTCAGAAATTTTACTGGAAGACGACCCCTTTCTGGCCAATATGGATAGCCTCTTGGTGCTCAACTTTTTTGTGGAGAACACCGAAAGTGCCACCCGTGATTTTTCACCCCTACAGGGTGAAAGTGTTCCCACCACTTCTGATTGGCACGATACGGTTTATGCCAACCGCATTGAAAAACTCAATGATTTAAGCCCCATTGATTTGCAATACAATGCCTACGTGCGGGCCTTTATTGACTTATATGCCGACAGGCGTAGAGAGCAACTGAGCAGAATGTTGGGCCTGGCAGAATACTATTTCCCCTTATTTGAAGAAACCCTTGATCGCTATGACCTGCCGCTGGAATTAAAATACCTGGCGGTGGTGGAATCAGCCCTGAATCCCAAAGCCCGCTCGCGCGTTGGCGCCACAGGTTTGTGGCAATTTATGTACAGCACCGGCCGCTTGCAGGGCCTAAAGGTTTCGAGCTACGTTGATGAGCGCATAGACCCAATAAAATCTACGGAAGCCGCCTGCCAGTACCTTGAAAAACTCCACAGCATTTTTGATGACTGGAACCTGGCTTTAGCGGCCTATAATTCCGGGCCCGGAAACGTGAGTAAGGCCATTAGAAGATCGGGCGGTAAAAAAGATTACTGGGCCATACGCCCCTATTTACCCCGGGAAACGGCCGGGTATGTTCCCGCCTTTATTGCGGTAAACTACATAATGAATCACGCCAGCGATCACCTTATTTTTCCCACAGAGGTAAAACCCTCCTTCTTCAACGTAGATACGGTGTGGATTAAAGAAAAACTGAGCTTTAACCAAATAGCCAGTTTGATAAATATTAGCTCAGACGAATTGGAGTTTTTAAATCCCTCCTATCGGCATGGCATTATTCCCAAAATAGAGGATGCACCCTACGCACTGGTGTTGCCAAATGAAAAAGTTGGATTATTTGTAAGCTACGAAGACAGCATTTACACGCTGGCCCGGCAAGACTTCCAGCAAACCGAAGAGAAGCCCCAGCCTACTTACGTGGAATTAGGCGACCGCATCCGGCACAAGGTGCGCAGGGGCGAAGTATTGGGCACCATTGCCGAACGCTACGGAGTAGGTGTAAGCAGCATTAGACGTTGGAACGGCCTGCGCGGCAACACCATACGCATTGGGCAATACCTTACAATATATCCGCGAAAGCTGCCCGAGCAAACTACGGCCAGCGCGGCCAAGCAAAGCAAAAGCAGCGGCAAATCATCGGGTGATTTTGAAACCTACCGCGTACGCAGTGGTGAAACCTTTTATAGCATTGCCCGCAAATACCCCGGCATTAGTGCCGATAATATTATGGAGTGGAACAACTATAAAAACAGTAGAAGTTTGCGCCCCGGTGCCAGCCTGAAAATTTTTACCAGCAAAAGTTAATATGAAAAAACTGCTCGCTTTATCCCTTATTTTCTTGTCGTTGCTTGCTTGTAATTCTGATGAAAATGGTGAGAGCAGCAGAACTCTACCCGATGCCAACGGGGGAATTTTAGATGTTATAGTTGTGGCCAAAGACAAACTGTGGAATGCATCGGCCGGGGATGCCCTGCAAAAGTCTTTCACGCAAATGCTCTATGGCCTGCCCCAGCCCGAGCCGCGGTTTACCGTTCGCCAAATTGAACCCTCCGATTACAACAGCCTTCTGCAACGCACGCGCTATCAAATTGTGATGGAATTGGCAGACAGCGTCTCCATTGCCTACGTTAAAAACCAGCACGCCAAAGGGCAGCTTATTATTTATCTCACCGCGCCCACAGATGAAAAGCTGACGGCTTTGGTAAAAGCCAAAAACAGCGAAATGATGGAGCGGATATACGCCAAAGAACGCGCCCGCGTGCTGAAAAGACTGGAGCCTGCGCTGAGGGAAACCAACAGCAAGGTTTTAAAAAACAACGGCATTAGCCTGGCGCTTCCCAAAGATTTTGACTTAGAAGTTGAGAAGGAAGACTTGCTGGTTTACTGGAAAAAAACCCAAAGAGCCGACATGGGCATCATGGTGCACTTTCGTGACTTTGACGAGAATCAAAACGTGATGGGCACGGAAATAATACCCATTCGCGACAGCCTGACCGAAAAATACATTTTAGGCGAGCGGGAAGGATCATTCATGAAAGTGGAAGACTTGGTAAAACCTGAGTTTAAGGCCATGGAAATTGACGGTAAATTTACCATCATGGCCCGCGGTTTATGGCGAACCGAAAACGATATAATGGGCGGGCCCTTCATAAGCTACACCATATATGATGACGCCAATGATCAGGTGGTTTACCTGGACGCTTTCCTCTTTTCACCCGATCAGAAAAAGCGCACCACGCTCTTTGAGTTAGAATCTATTTTGCGTAGTGTTGCCTTTTTAAATTAATGCAAAATCTGCCGCAAAACCGGTAGCGACTTTAACTCACCAAAATCAGTTACGTGCAACCGGCAATAATCCAAAAGCGCTTCCAGCAGGTGGTAGCGTTCATCGGCTTTAAGCCTTATTTCATGGCAATTTTCTAAGCTGGCCGCCTGCACGGCATGCCACTTTTGAACCAGCTGCCCCTGTATAAAATGCCGGTGCGGCAATTCATGATCAACGTAGTTGCCTTCCATTAAATCAAAAAAGGCGTAGCGCTTTTCAGCGGAAGGACGTTCGGGCGCAAAACCAAGCATAGCGCTAATGTGCATGATAAAGGCCAGGTGAAAATTGGCAATGCTTTTTTTAGAGGCATCCAATAGGCGCAAGCCGTTCTGGAGGTAATCAAAAAGCTCGGGATGGGGCTCTTCTTCCTGCAAAAGATGCTGCAAAACCTCGGCTATGAATATGCCCACGCAGGTTTTTTCGGCTTCATAGGGAATGGCCTGATAGTTATGAGCCATGCGGGCTTCTTTCAAGCGCTT